GTTCTACAGTGAATTTCTGAACCAACATGAGATGTGATTTGCCTCCTGATATATACCTGACTAGTGAATTTTTCCTTTCATTTGATCAAAACCTCAAGATTTCCCTGAAACCTTGTGCACAAGATAAGAGATTTGAAGCCATCATTTTTATATACAAGCGACGGGTGAATTTTTCTAAATGTGGTGCATGAAAGGGGACCTAGGGTCCCTCCCCCCCTCTTGCCACCATCTGCTTGTGTATCATAAAATATTTAACAACTTACTAATCTGGTCACTGCATATCTGTTCCTGGAGATGGTTTATAAATTTTCATGTTGACTGAGATCCTGAGTACTTAGATGACTGATGCATTGATTGAGTGCCTGATTGATTGCATGATTGATTGCTTGTTAAAATGATTGATTGCATGATTGATTAATTGATATAATATTAACCAGCCGATTGGCTGATTGAATGATTGATGTTTGATCAATTAATAGATTAACTCCCCTCATTGTAAGAACCCCTGACTGTAAGACCCCTGATTGTAAGAACCCCTGACTGTAAGAACCCCTGATTGTAAGAATCCCTGAATGTAAGACCCCTGATTGTAAGAACCCCTGATTTTAGGAACCCCTGAATGCAAGAACCCCTGACTGTAAGACCCCTGATTGTAAGAACCCCTGAATGTAAGACCCCTGATTGTAAGAATCCCTGATTTTAAGAATCCCTGAATGTAAGAACCCCTGACTATAAGACCCCTAATTGTAAGACCCCTGATTGTAAGAACCCCTGACTGTAAGACCCCTGATTGTAAGACCCCTGATTGTAAGAACCCCTGACTGTAAGACCCCTGATTGTAAGACCCCTGATTGTAAGAACCCCTGATTATAAGATCCCTAAATGTATGGCAATCCCTGAGTGGAAGGCTTTGATCTGGTTGTAAGGTATGAATTAGAAGTTCGAACATAAACCAGAAATTTACAACTCTTTTATGATATGTATTAAGACCCTTGAAGATGTGAATTAAACATAAAACCCTGAAAGTATGGTACACATTTTAGGACCAATGGGTTGAATACAATCATTTTTCATGTATTTGTTGAGAGGTCAAGGTTTAGGGTTAACAATACCGGTAGTTTAAAATGAATATGAAAATGTTGCATATTCGAATCCACTGTTTCTAATATTGAAAAGCACAGAAACCCATTTGGGATCATAACTATTGTCAGTAGCAAACCTGCTCATCCCACAGTCTATCAGGGAAAAGGCAAAGAGATTGGAATAAACCTTGTAAGTAATTAAAAGGGTCATTGCAAATAAGTTTCCAAAGTTTATTCGAAATTTATTAAAAAAATACAGATATTGAATACAATTTGACTAGTGCTAAACCTGGACCCTATTCACTTTGATTATATTTGTATTGACAGCATTAAAATACATGCAAATAGACAAACTATTAATAATATATCTCATCACGTTTTTTGAAGAAAGCGTTTGGAGGAAACATTGCTTAAATAAATGTAGCTCATTAGTAATCTTTTTCCACCTTCAAGGTATTTAAAACTGATGAGAAGGCTGCAGTCAACATACAGAATGGAGCCAGCAGGCAGCCAAGGTGTCAGGGGACTGGATGATTTCCAGTTTGTTCCATTTATTTGGGGAAGCTCTCAGTTTATTGGTTTGTATCATTGATACATGTATCTATTTTGAGTATCATTCTTTTGCTGTGCATGTTCAAATCATATTTCCCTTCAGATTTATGTATGATATATATATATCGCAAGTCATTAATGGAACTCTCAGGCCAACAAAGGTGCACCGCGCCAGGAGGATCAATAAAGATTC